GAAAGTGGCTGGTGTCAAGAGAGAATATAAACAGAGATGAGGCTGAGCTGTGATCCCAGGCGAGGAGTCAGGAGTCTTCATGCACGGGCTTAGGTTGGGGCAATCGGTATATGTATTCTTTCTTCCCATCTGATCTCAAGCCTTGCAGAACAGGATGGACTGTGTCCTTACCTCTCCATATCCCCTATGCTTTCCAGCACAGTGTCCCAGGCAGTGCAAGAAATCTTAAAACAATGAAACAAAACCAAACATGGAAGGAAATCTTTGGCAGTTCCACTTCATTGGACAGGTTTCTGGCTGTCTATCTGGCCTTTTAGTGCAGAATTCTCAGGAGGCTCATCAAGATGCTCATTTATTTATTATGTTCATAAAAATCTTGGGAACATTAAAGCACAAGACAAGGTCCTGGCCCTTAAAACAGCTACAGCCTACTGTGTGGACAAGGCAGAGGTCCCTTGAAATGCCCACAAACAGGAATAAGACATGGGACTTGGACTAAGAGCCAAGTGGTACATCACCCCCAAGAGGTCCCTGCCTTATTTGGCCAGTTCAACTGTCCATCTGCCAGATGACAAAGATGACTCCTCCAGCAACCTAACAATGAGAATCAACAACTCCAGAGCCTCACCATCCCCCCAAACCAATGCCCTGGCATGATTTATTGTCTACAGGGGAAGAGTACTTTTAAACCAAACATCACTAAGTGCCTGATGGAAAGAGGGGCTGGGAGTGCGTCTCCTGCATTTCCCTGTCCTCACCCCTACTCAACACCGCAGTCTCCTTCCATTCTCCCTTTCACTGCTTTTGTACAATCTGTCACCAACTTCTGTTTGTTCCTCTGAAATGGCATTTGCATCCTTCCTCTTCTGCCTCGCCTTAGCGCTGCCACCCCCTCTGATATTGCGCCCACATCCTGGGAGCTGAGGCTCTAGCCTAGGTCATCCCCAAACTTCATGTCAGTAAATGTGGCTTCTGCAAACCCAGCTCTCAATTGGTCACATCTCTGCTCAACAGTCGGCCCAGGGGCGCTCTTCCATCATCATCAAAACCAAGTTATTAAGACCCTCGTATAAGTGGCCCTTCCTACACTCACTCACCTAACTTTATTTCCCAGTACTCCCTAGTGTATGTCCTCTACTCCAGTCGCCTCCCTGTTTATTTGTGCCTTTGCTCAAGTGGTGTCTGACTTCAGAACCATCTTTCCTCCTCCTGGCCACCAATCGAATCCTATGCACTCCTTGCCACTTTGTTCACATGGACCAAGCTTAGGACCTAGGGGATGGGGAGAACAGGAAGGGAAATGTTAGGAGCCTGGTGTTTTTCCACTTCCTTTATTGTCTTCAAGTTCCCCTACCCCATGGGCACTCCATGGTATAGAAATGCTTTTCTGCAGTACCTACCCAGCCGCAAGGACACCCCATCAGCTTGGCTGCCCTGGATCAGCTAGCTGTGAAGGAGCTTGTCTGCCTTCAGCTGGGGAGGCTATCTTGGTCTTACAAGCCAGAAAGGGAAAAAGCTGACAGTGCTAATGTTGACTCGCTTGTTGCATCTTTGGACCGACTCTCAATCACTGCAGAGTTAATACACCAAGCTCTAGAGTTTCGGAGAGATGGAGAGTGGGTTTGCCAAACGATAGACTGCCAAGTTGGGTCTCTGGAATGAATCCAGTGTTCCATAAACCCTGCCTCTCTCCTAATCATAGAAAGAACCATAAAACAAGAGAGAGGCAGTGGAGCTGCAGGCAGCAGAGTGACATAGAAGCATTATCCTGTGCTTCCTGAAAAACAGAAAATGCAGATTGAGACAAATCTCATCCCCCTTCACCCTCCTATGCAGGGTGTTGCTAGATGAGAGAGCTGCTGGTACTGAGGAGGTCTTTGGAAAAGTCTCTTGAAAGGGGTAGAGTAGGTGGTCCGTGGAGATTTCCTTTCTCCCTGCCAATCTGTGACCCGTGAAATGGGCAAAAATGGAAAGAGAGATGGTGAGCACCTCCTGTGTCTCCTGCTACCTTGAAGAAGAAAATGTGTGTGGGGGAGGGGGAGGGCTACATCTTCTTCTTCTATTTGAAGTGGCATGAAAGTGGCTAATCTCTGGGTTATCAGGTGGATTAGGAAAGGGGTTCTCTGCTTTTTACAACTTTCCCTAGAGCTGGAGGTAAAGGGTGGTGAGTTAAAATCACCATCTTCATGTCTTGAGCTGGAAGATGATGAGGGTGAAAAGAGGTAAATTAAAAATTATTTCCCCCAAACAAACAAGCAAATACACACACACTATCCCAGAGAGAAAATTAAAAAAAAAAAAAAAAAAAGCTCCTTAGACAATTGTATTAATGTGATAACAACGACAATATTAATTGTCTTACACATACCTATGGTTTACATTTTAGAGCACTGGGGTACATTATTTAGCAGTATTCCTATACCACATAATCCAGTCAGGTGGTAATTAAAATAGCAGCTGCCATTTATTGAATGACTATCAGGAACACTTTTCATGTGTTACTTAATCCTCACAGCCCCCTTGTGGTACTATTGTTAATCCTCATTTTACAGAAGGGGAAACTGAGGTTTGGAGAGGCTAAATAACCTGCCCATCAGGTAGAGACAGAAACCTAGGTCTTTCTGATTCCACAATCCAGGCTCTTGACCTATTAAGGCCCATCTTAGGGCAGGGCTTTTTCACAAGTTCAGGAAGGGCAGGGCGTTGAGGAGGGAGCCCTTATATGGCAACTCCCTATGAAATAGGTATGCATGCGCGCACACACACGCGCACACACAAATATTCCAAGAGGTCCCACTTGTTCTCCTGCCCTGAGTCACAAACCCATCCAGCTTGCACAGATACAGGTCCAGCTGAACGCCACACTCCTTAGAGGGACAAAGGTCAGCCCCTCATGATAACATATCTGTCATTTAACTTGTATCCGAAACTGCAACAGCGTCTGCATCTGACAAGATGCAGCCACAGCAACGTGGTGAATTAACATCAAGCTTTGAAGCTTTGTCTCGAAGAATACTTTAAGACTGAAAATAATAAGACTGAATGCCATTTAGCAGAATGGCTGGTTACATTCAAAGAAATGTTCAACTTGTGGGATTCAAGCACACAGAGAAAGAAGAAATGACAGTAGAAAACAGTAAAGCACAAACACATGGTGACAGCTCACAAAAGCTGGCTGCCCTATTCTTCATCAGACCCGCCTGACTTCAGTGGCAGTGTCTGCTGTTAGCTGTGCAGAGGCCTCTGGCACAGACATGCGCACACACAGATACTCAGTGTTGGGCAGGCTGGAGGAAGAAGCGATGAGACCCTTCAGAACACCTTCCTCGCCCCTTTCACCCAAGTACAAACTCTTCTAGGATGTCCCCCCATCCCTTCTCCCCCTCTCCCCATCAACCTCAAAGAAGATCAGAGGGTGGGGGCGTTTCTGGGATTTTGAGAGAGTAAAGTGTCAGTGTCACAGTGCCCCTCTTTCAGTTCTGAATATATAGTTAGATACACACAAAACACCCACTGGAACTTTTAAAGGATGTGAGGCGAACCACAAGCCACCTGTGAAATGAAATCTTGGTGTTTCATAGTCATGGAAACACAGGTAGGCAAAGGGCTCATGTTTATTAATTATGTCTACACATACCTACACAGAGCAGGTGGCCCTGGCACACACGCAGGAATCCTCACACACAGGCATCTGGGCCATGCCACCTTTCCTTTCCGCAGCCTCTTCCCACCCACCTGAAGGTGCTGGCCCCGGCCGCCCGGTGAGGGGCTGCGGGTATGACGCAGTGGAAAGGGGCTCACTCGGCCCCTGGCTACTCCCTGGCCGGGAGGTGTGGGCAAGTCACAATAATCAGGGGGCCAGGCGCTGCGAAGACGAAGGGGAACAGTACATGCGGCGCTCTTGGCACAGTGCTTTGCGCCGTCCTGCCTGGTTTCAGAGCCTGCCTTTCCTACACCCACTTCTGGGCTGATGGTGCCACTTGTCACTTGGTCTCCATCCTTAGGACACTGGTCTGAACTGGGATGAGTGGGGCCTAGTCCAGGACCTCGGGTCTATACCAGGTGGGTCCCAGAACTCAGGTCACAGGTCTGCTGGCAAGGTTAGCCTTCAGGGTCACACAGGGAGCCACGAAAGGGGCACAGGTGTCCGGGTCCCTGGTGCATGGAGTCAAGGGCGGCGGGCAGAGCCCGACGGTGGAAGTGGGCAGAGCCCAGCAGTAAGCCGGCCCAGGGCTGTGGGTGGCTTCCTCCTGTTGCTCGGTATCAGGGAGAGGCGGGGGAGGACATTCATTTTTTCCTAAGCAAGCAGCCACCCATTGCTTCCATCACTATCGATTGTGAAAGGCCGGCGGCGCCTCTTAAAGGCGAAGCCGGGCCCGGGTGCGCCCCCGCGTCTGTGTTCCGGGGCCCTCCGCGGGGACCTCCCGCGCGTGCGGGGCAGGCGACGGCCAACGCTCCTGCGCCGCTCGTCTAGCAGCCTCGGGAACCGCAGCCACCAGCTGTGGTCTGACCCCTGCCCGTCCGCTTGCGGCGCTTTTCTTTCCCGAGTCCCCAGTCACATCCTCGCATCGGGTCACCTGTTCCGCAGCGTCCGCGTCGGCCCGGGTTCGGGGACGCGGCTAGAGCTCGGAAAGTTATTTGAAGACGCAGCTGTGTGGCGGCCGTCACTGTAGCAAACTACAGGACTCGTATTTCCCAAACTCTTCCCCACCCCCACCCAGGCTGGGCGACCCGAGCCCGCTGCGGGAGCCCTGCGGCGCCAAGAGCTACCAGCAAACGCACCTCCTCTGCCTCCTTCGCGCCCAAGTGCAAAGGGGGAGAAAGCCCGAGAGCAAAGTGGGAGCGCGGAGCAATTGCCAGTCCCGGCCGGGAAGGGACCAAGCTGCTGGGATCAGCCTCCCTCCCGCCTGGCAGCTCGGAGACACACTCGCGATCTCCTGCCCGGGCCTCTCCTCTCACGGCCCCAGCCCTCCCGGGGGGCTGCGGCGACCCCTCAGTACCTGCGGCGGTCACGGGCTCGCCCTCGCTTTGCTCGCCGGAATCCGAATCCATGCTGCGGGCTGCCGACCGGGCGCCGCCTGCCCGTCTGCGGGGCGCGTGGAGCCG